GATGAACATTTCCAGCAGGTGTCAGAAAGTAGATTAATGCATTCTCTTGTATTGTATAGATGACTTAAAAGTGGTTGGAAAACTGGTTTTGGTTGAGTTCTAGCCAACTAAGCACTGATACATGTTGCTAATTTCATTCACTAAACTCTGAAGGCTTTGAAGAATGGGAAGAGTTAGAGCAGAAAGTGAGGGAGGAGGAAAGAAAAGACTCACATCTTCGAATTTGTTGACTGCTCTCAGAACAGGTACACTAGGCAGTGATGGAATAAAACCATAACTCTAGCTTGTTTAATTTCAGAGCTTCTAATTAGGCACCAATGCCCCTTTTACTGCAAATCTGGAAATCATGGTAATTTACTTTTAGACAAATTACATATTGTATTTTCTCCTAATAATACTGCCTTAGTTTTGTGTTTTTTTTAAGGACAATTTTAAGATGGGTAAGAGTAAAGTTTACAAAATTGTGAAGATCGGGAATTTCTCTAGGGGGAAAAAGCAGTTGTTTCCTAATCCCACCGAATTATTCTGTAAATTTGACAATAATTTCAGTAGCCAGGAAAATAGAAAAGAAGTATCAATCTATCACCACTACTAGAAAATTGACTGAAATATGTTAATTCTAATTTTTTTCTTTAAAGGAAGGAAGTATACATAAAGTATACGAAGAAAGAATACTTTATAAAATACATGAAGAATCCAGTTAATGTAACTCATTATTACTTAAAACATTCTAGTGATTTGAAAAAATGATAACACTGAAAATAAATGTGCACAAAATAATAATTGTACTTTAGTACCCCATGGTTAAGTTTGGAGTATGGAGATTATATGTAAATAGGATGTAAACCAAATTAACTGGGTGCTTTGTCATTAGTGTTACTGAATAATAGTGTGATTTAATAACTATAAATTTTTACCTGAGAAAAGATATATAATGCTTATCATAACTAAATTGTTCTAGGATTTTGAGATGAAACAATTTTGTAGTTACTAGATATTATTCACATTAATTGATATTATTTATGCTTGTGTGTGTGTGTGTGTGCGCGCGCGCGTGTGCGTGTGCGCGCACACATGTATGTGACTACTGCCTTGAACACAGGGCCTGGGGGCTAATCCTGAGCTTTTTTGCTCAAGGTTAGCACTCAACTATTGTAGCCACAGCTCCTCTTAGACTTTTTTTTGGTTAACTGGAGATGAGGCTCATGGACTTTCCTGTCTGAGCTGACTTCCAATAGTGATCCTCCGATGCATGCCTCCTGAGTAGCTACGATTCTAGATTATAGCCACCAGCACCTGGTTTGCATATATTAACCTAACACATAGTGTGTGCAACTGCTATTGAATGTTTAGTGTCCCGAACTGGAAATGTGACAACATATAGAAAATTTACACTTTTATGTGAAAATCTGGACATCCTTGTTTCATAGCTATCATGATCTCTGTGTCAGCTTGTCTATCTGGAAATCAGTGACTGTATTAGTTATCAATTGCTGTAAGACAAATTACCACAGACTATGTGACCTTAAACATCATGACTTATTTCACAGTTTCTATGAGCCCAGAGCCCAGGTATGGCTTAGCTATGTCCTGTTCTTCAGGGTTTTCCATGAAGTTGTAAGTAAAGTGTTGGCAAAGACTAGGTTTTTCTACAGATAACTTGACAGGATAAAGGTCTGATTTTTAAGCTCACTTTATTAGAGTCAAGATTAAATTTCTTCTTTATGACTTCTCTTTTGCTAAGCAAGTACGCTACCAGTAGAGGTGTGATCTTAGTTCAGGATTCAGTTTCTTGCCACCTTTCTATGGCCTCCATTCCTTGCTGGCAATATCAGGAAAGTGCTCTTATTTCTTTTCCTGTGGGCTTCTATATAACAACTGTCTCACCTAAGCCAACAACAGAGACTTGGGTAGCCAGAGAGAAGTCAGAATCTTCTAATCTAATCATGGGAGTAGCATCACCTCAATGTTGAGTTATTCTCAAGGTTAGAATTAAAAGTGTTCCAGAGAAGAGGATTATCATACTTGAATATCAAGGGGCACAATTACAGGCTCCATCAGAATCTGCCCAACCACCAGGTTAATAGCCTCTACTTTATGAGTGTGTTGTGAGTAAAGATGAAAAAAATCATGTGTATTCTAAATCTTTTGTTTTTTTTTGGGGCGGGGGGAGAGGTCTGTCTTTAAACTACCTTAGCAGATATTACTTATTAGCTTTCTTCACAGGAACCAAATTTGTTGTTTGTATTATTACAAATACTAGCTCTCTCCCCTTCTCTGGCCCTCAACATCTTCTGGAATGTATTCTATTTGTAATGAGTAGCTTCAGCAATTTGACTTTATGAAATTTCATTTATTTCCAGGAGCTCTCACAAATGAGCCTTATTTCCCCTCTCACGTTTTGTTTGATTTATCCTTCCCTCACCTACAAGTCATCTGATCCCTTCTATCCTAGTTCCATAACTTCATTATGCATTTATAGGTCTGCTTTGAATTTTTACTGCTATTTAGATTATGGGCTTCTCAGGGGCAAGGACTGTGTCTTAATCTTTTCTCTATCCCTTAAACCTTTCTGTATTCTGATGTTGTTGTTCTTGTATTTTGAACATAGTGAGATAATAGTTTTGGTTAATGATTAGCTTTTCCAAGGTCTAGTGGCTTAATAACTTGTAGATGTAGATGTGGGGAGTTTTAAAAGGTTGTGGTTGTTTTATATGTTGTAATAACCAATATTTGTAGCACCACAGGGAATGAAGTGTTCCTTCTAAGTTAATGTTCTGGTTAACTACAAATATCCTTTTACATGCCTAAAATAATTTTCTTAAGTCTTATTATTAATTAATCACCATCTATTCATCTGTTCATCACCTTTTGTTAACCAAAAAAATGTAGTAAGCATTTATTATAGCATAATCCTATGTATTAGAGTTCTAAGATGAAAGTTCTTTCTAAAACATTTTGTGTACTTTCTTATCTTAACAGTAATTTATCTTATTAAAAGTAGTTTAAGTTTTTGTTCCTGGCTTTAGGCATTGTACTATGAAAATCAGATATTGAGCTAAAATTCAGTGATAGTCACAAGAGATAGTATTGAATTATTAAAGAATGGTTTGCGTGTATCTGAAGTTGAATTGCTTTTAGGTTCTAAAACTACTTTTTTTAGTTTCATGTTCATTTTGAGGGACTGTTTTGCTGTTAGTGAGGTTGGTAGCTGAAAGTGAAGTATATGAGAAAGGACTTCCAATCTGTTGTGAGACTTAAAGTTTTAAAAATTTCTTTTCAAGTGCATTCTACAGTGTTGAAATTGCTTTATTTGAGTTGCTTTGTCAGTCATTTAAGGCTTTCAGATAAAATCAAGGCTTAGAGTAAATAAGGTCCAACTTTACTTGAGTGTGACATTGTCTTAATGTTCAAAAACAGTTGATAAATATCACTGTATTTGTAGATATGTTTGTCAGAACAAAACAATAAAGCAGCACGATTTCTAGATATGAGTGAATATAAAAAGCATGTTAAGGAATAGAATTATGTAGTTTATCAAGTACATAGAATGACCTGAGATATTGAAGTCAGTATATATATATATATATAGCCAGTACTAGTGTTACTGGAGCTTGAACTCAGGGCCTTGTACTCTCTCTTGGCTTTTTTGCCCAAGTGGCCCTGTCACTTGAGCCACATTGCCAATTCTGGCTTTTATTTTCTTTTGTCAGTCCTGGGACTTGAACTCAGGGCCTGGGCACTGTCCTTGAGCTTCTTTTGCTCAAGGCTAGCACTTTACCACTTGAGTCACAGCACCACTTCCAGCTTCTTCTGTTTATTTGGTACTGAGGAATTGAACCCAGGGTTTCCTGCATGCTAGGCAAGCACTTTGCCACTAAGCCACCCGACCAGGGTGCACTTCTGGTTTTTTGTTTATTAATGGGAAATAAGACTTTTAGGGAGTTTCCTGCCCCAGGACTTCGAACTGTGATCCTTAGATCTTAGTCTCCTATTTTTTTTACTTGTGTGTGTGTGTGTGTGTGTGTGTGTGTGTGTATGTGTGTGCTAGTCTTGGGGTTTGAACCCATGGCCTGTGTGCCATCCTGAAGCTTATTTGTTCCAGGCTAGTGCTTTACACTTGAACCACAGCTTTGCTTCCAGCATTTTGGTGGGTAATTGGAGAGACGAGTCTCACAGATTTTCCTTCTGGGGCTGACTGCAAATTGTGACCCTCAGATTTCAGCCTACTGAGTGTCTAGGATTTACAGGCCATCAGTGCCAGGCTTTTTAAAAAAATGTATCCATTCATTGTTATCTTCAAAGTTTTTTAAAAAAGAGTTATTATTCTTCAAGTTCCTTCCCCCTCCTTCCCTATTCTTTGTCCTGTTCCCCCTCTTCCCCTTTCCCCTCCTCCTCTTCCTCCTACCTCTGCCTCCCCATTCTCCTTCTACCTCATCCTTCTTCTTGTGCTAAGAGTCAAACTTGCATTATCTGTGTATCCTAGTCTCAAAATTCCTTGACGTGGACTTTATTAAGTAGCTTTAGTATTTTCTTGCTAACCATTAAGATTCCTAAATCTGTGTTTGAATTAATGAATATTTATTTAGACTCTAAAGATAAACAACTGTACTAAGTTAGCTTGTAGTTATGTCTTTGGCAACTATTCAGAAATACATAGTAAATCGTTCCATTCAGGATAATTTCTAGTTAACTTAAATTTCTCTTTGTTTTGTTCTTCTAGGTTAAAAAACTGCCATATCTTAGTGACTTATCAACCTAATGCCTTGCTTGTGAAAACACTTATTACCATTATTCTCTTCAGTTTGGATTGAGAACATGAATCTGGACACAGAAGAAAGTACAGCATGGTGTAAAAAAGTATCCATTACACAGTGGAATATCTAACAACTACTTTGCAAGAAGCATTAAGGATATAATTGTTATGCTTCGATTTTGGTATGGTATTGACTCTCTAGCACATAGGTAGCCCTCCAATAAACAATCCAGTTTTCTAAATTATGGAAATTTTGTGGAAGACGTTGACTTGGATTTTGAGCCTCATCATGGCTTCATCAGAATTTCATAATGACCACACACTTTCATACAGTTCTCAAGGTAGGATTTTTGTTTCCAAAATTTTAAAAAGAATATCACTAATAGTCATGTAAGGAACAATGCAGAATATTTTGTTTGGGTATAGAATTTCTATTGAGGGAAATAGAGGTGAAGCTCAGGCACTAGCTTTGGGCAAGAATTTTTTTTTAATGTGACAGGAATATTGAATAATTTCAGTGATTGTTTTTTATATATTACAGACTATGAGAATCTGTTTAATTATCCTCCCAAGAGTCAATTTAATATCCAGTGGATTTTGAAGTTGACTAAGCTCTCTTAGTAAAATGAACTTTACAACTTTGGTGTGGGTTGGGGGGTGGGACAGGGGAGCAGATGGGAAGGGATGAGAAGGGGAAACAAAGGAGGCAACAAAGCTTGATAAGAAATGCATTCATTAATCTTACCCATGTAATTGTAACCCCTCTGTATGGTATTTTCACAATAAAAAAAGAAAATAGTAATATACCCTGCCCCACAAATTTTAATAACTTCATTTATTGCTAAGGTCATTTTCTAAGAGTATCCAAATGTTTATACTGTAGAAGATGAAAAACTTAGACAAGACCTTTTAAATATGGACCTTTGAGGAAAAAATTTTAAGAATTCTAATCTAAGGACTAAATGAGAATGGTAAACTCATTTTTTCCCCAAATTCTAACCCTTATGATTTTAAACTATGGAGTATCTATATAGTTGAACTTTGTGTCATAGAAATGATATTAAGAGGTCTGGAGGTGTGGGTCAAATAGCAGAGTACTTGTCTGAAAATGATCTTAACAACAGAAATCCCACAAGTAAATATCATTTTGTTTTCCATAGACTAATCTATTCCTTATAGAATTATTAAAGCTATATCTTCTATATTTTCCCCATAAATGCATTTAGTGTTAATGAGCCAGGTTTTCAAGGGTGTTATAGAGTGATGTATATAAGTCCATTAGATTATTTCTCTCAAAAGTAGATTGGCAGCTGGGGGCTGGTGGCTCATTCCTGTAATCCTAGCTACTCAGGAGGATGAGATCTGAGGATGATGCTTCCAAGCCAGTCTGGTCAAGAAAGTCTGTGAGACTTTAATCTCCTAAGAGCCAAAAGTAGAAATGTGGCTCAAGTGGTAGATCACTAGCTTTGAGCAAAAAAACCCAAACAAACAAAACAACAACAACAACAAAACTTTAGGGATAGTCTAATCCCTGAGTTCAAACCCTAGGACCAATATACTTACTAACACAGGTGTGCATGCATACACACACACACACACACACACACACACACACACACACACACACACAAGTAGGTCAACAAAGCCATAGATTTACTGTGAATTCTTATAAAAAAGGAAATACAGCCAGGTGTTGATGGCTCATGTCTGTAATCCTTGCTACACAGGAGGCTGAGATCTAAGGATTGTGGTTCAAGTCCAGCCTACGCAGGAAAATTCATGAGACTCTTATCTCCAATAAACTACTCAGAAAAAGCCAGAAGTGGTGCTGTGGCACAAGTGGTAGAGCACTAGCCTTGAACAAAAGAAGTTCAGGGACCGAGCCCAGGCCCTGAATTCAAGCCCCAGGACTGGAAAAAAAAAAGAAAAGAAAGAAAAAGGAAGTAAATACTGAACTCATCCATTTCCATACGATTATGGTTTCATAGGACTTTATGTTTGTAAGATAAATTCCATAGAGACAATGAAGCCATGGGCAGACTTTTGAGTTCTCTTAGTGGTAAACCTAGCTTAGGAAGGGATAATTAAGTAAGGAAAATATTAGGTCTGCCAAATTTTTAGTCATTCTGTTGATCTTAAAGAGTTTTGTTGAATTATAATCCACATAGCATTTATTTCACCCATTTAAAGTTCAATGGTTTTTAGAGTTGTACAACCAATATTATATCAATTTCTGAACATTTTCATCACTCCATAAAGAGAGCCTTAGTAATCACTTCCAAATTTCCCCAGACTTTTCACACATGCTCTCCTGCCCAGTCCTAGGCAGTCTCTAAGTCTCTCTGTTTCTAGAGACTTTTTTTTTTACTATTAATCTTATTATTAATATTAATTCTCTGTGTTATTTTGTGACTGGCTCCTTTTTAGTTAGCATAAAGTTTTTATAATGTTAGAAAATCACCTTAAGGGGGCTGGGAAGGTGGCTCAGTGGTAGAGCGCTTGCCTTGCATGCCTGAGGCCCACATAAGCAAAAAGAAAAAAGCCGGAGGTGGCACTGTGGCTCAAGTGGTAGAGTGCTAGCCTTGAGCTGAAGAGCTGAGGGACAGCGCTCAGGCCCAGAGTTCAGGCCCCACGACTGGACCCCCCCCCAAAAAAGAAAATCACCTTAAGAAAGCATAATGCTTTTTTATTATTGCAGAATAATATTCCACTGGTAGAAATTGACATTCTAATTAGTCATAGACTAATAGAAATTTAGATTATTTCTCCTTTTAGACTATTATGAATAATTTTGGCATGAGCATTCACAAAGCAGTTTTTATGTTGTCTGTTTTCATTTCATTGGTGGATCATATAGTTACTTTATGACCAACATTTTGACAAGTTATCAGACTATTTTCTAAAGTGGCTGCAGAATTTTACATTCCTAATAATTATTTTGTTTTTAAGAAATAATTTTTACAAGGACATAGAAATTCTACATAAATTCTTTTGGATAATGTTCAAAAGTGGGCTTCTATCGGAACTGAATCTCATTTTTTTACTTCTGTGTACTTTTCATTTTTTGTTTGCATGTAAATTTTTCATATTTTGTTTACAGTTAAGCAGTTGGAAGCCATGTTTTTAAAATTAAGGTTAGATAGAAAATTAGTACTTCCCAAATGAATTTAAGAAATAATATAAAACTCATTCTTTAGATTTTAAACCCTTATGGTTATATGATTTCATGCTTTCAATTGTGACCCACCTATAATGATGCATGGTGATTTATTTTGTTACTTCTGTTAAATTTTCTTTTCTTCCATGTGCTTTTTCTGGATTCTCTACCTTGTGATTACAAAGAGGAATTCCTGACTTATCTTGAACACTACCAGCTAACTATTCCAATAAGGGTTGATCAAAATGGAGCGTTTCTCAGCTTTACTGTGAAAAATGCTAAGCACTCAAGGAGAAGACGGAGTATGGACCCTATCGACCCAGAGCAGGCAGTGTCGAAATTATTTTTTAAACTGTCGGCCTATGGCAAGCACTTTCACCTCAACTTGACTCTCAACACAGATTTTGTATCCAAACATTTTACAGTAGAATACTGGGGGAAAGATGGACCCCAGTGGAAACATGATTTTTTAGATAACTGTCATTATACCGGATATTTGCAAGATCAACGTAGTACAACTAAGGTGGCTTTAAGCAACTGTGTTGGATTGGTAAGTAGATACTATGATTTTAAATTTCTGATGGGAAAATAAGTTCATGAAGTAACTGTCTTTCCTCAGGTTTAAAACCATGTATATTGATGGTTTGAATAGGGAAGTAATGGACAGAAAATGTTCATTATTTCTAATGTTTTGCTTTTGATAATTATATTCAAAGTGGTTATATTGCATTTTCATGGAATAGCTTATAAAACTCTTCATTAACAGTAGAGGAATGAGTGAAATCTCAGATTTCTTTTTAGTCTTAATTTTTTTTCTGGGCAAAATAATTTGAATTTAATGCATATACAAAACAGTCCTTGGCAAAGAGTTCCAGTGCAGTTTGTGTATTATGGCAGGGAATCATAGCACTGATTTGCCTTTTAGGTTATCTTTTGTTGGTAGCTAGCATAGCTTAAACTTAATTCTAATCTATTTATGGGCATCATTTCTTGAAGCCAGATCTTTGATACAGTGCATTTGAAATAATTTTTCCCAACATTTATGTTAAGATTGATGATAATCTTTCTTTAGAAATATATATAGAAAAATGTAGAAAATTTAGAAAAATGTATATAGGGTTTATGACAAGTACTTGAGGTTAAAGGTACTTAAACAGAGTAATGGTTGTAGATCAAGTGTATTCCCGACTTTCTCTTTGGTTTTACCCTTTTCAGGCTTCTATAGATGGCTCATTAACACTCTGTGTAAAAATGTACATGCCTTACTTGTATTTGCAGAAATTGCTTTTCTTTCTTATACTAGACCTATATTCTTGTTTATACTTTAGTGTAATTATGCAATTACAGTTGAATTAAATATGTTTTAAATTTGAAATAACTAGCAAGATTTTATATTGAAGACAAAATTTCACTGTATGTTGTAAGAATTTGTTCAAATTGTCCATATTCCTTAAATCTGAAGTAAAAGGAACCTAAATAAGTACTTAGATTTTAAAATTTGGATTTAGTCTTGACAAATATGTACATTGAGTACATTTATTGCTATATTTAAAAGATTTAGTTTTTGAATGCCAAATAGGTCTAAAACTTCTCTAAATATAATACTGTTAATTTGGCACTGATATTAACTATTGAGTTGCTAGTTTTAACAGGGTGATGATGTATGCAGATTAGAATGAATTTCATTAGGAAATCTGAGGAAAGAACAGGGATTGAGATATGAGTACAAATATGAAAGAGATAATGAAGATCTATTCAAAGACTGTAGCATCTGGGAATGGAGAAGGTTGAATGAATTTTTTTGTACATTTCAGTGAGAAAATTTAGATTTAGAGAAAATTTAGGTGTATCCTACTGATCTCCATTCAAATTCCTCTTAGTCAAAGGCCACTACTTAATTAACCATGTTTTAAATTATGTTGTACAAAATAATGTTCATTGACGGTCACTTTTAGTCATGTTTTCTCACCCATATTATCAGTCTTTACAACCCTTGCACCATTCAAAGGGCCGAATTCTAACAGTGCCATTTATTGTTTCAAGTATTGTCACATTTTATTTTGCTTATGTCTGGATTATGATTTTCTTATCCAGATTTTGTTTTCTAGAGTTTCTAATTACTATTAATTTTTCCTATTGAGATGAAAATGCAATTTCTTTATCAGGTGACCATTATGTAGGGTTTATGTGTATTGCTTGGATATGTCCCATCTTTTTTTAATCTTTTTAAAGACCAAGTCTTACTACATCCTATCTGTACTTAAACTAGAGACTTCCTATCTTGGCCTCTGAGTGCTGGGATTATAAATGTGTGTTATCCCACTCAGCTGAATTCTTATTAGAGGCATTTTTCTTGGATATTAGTTGGGCTACATCTCACATTTTACATTTTTTTTTCTTTTTTTTTGTCAGTCATGGGGCTTGAACTCTGGACCTGGACGCTGACCCTGAACTCTTCAGCTCAAGGCTAGTGCTCTACCACTTTGAGCCACAGTGCCATTTCTGGTTTTCTGGTAGTTGATTGGAGATAAGAGTCTCATGGACTTTCCTGCCTGGGCTGGCTTTGAACCGTGATCCTCAGATCTCAGACTTCTGAGTAGCTAGGATTACAGGTGTGAGCCACCAATGCCTGGCACCTTTTTTGCTTTTTTGAGTTGCCATATCTTCCTCTTTCTGAGTTTATATCCTGATTTATTGGGAGAACACCTTCAAATAATTCAAATAATGCCTCGGTAGTAAACTTTTGTGAGTCCTTGTCTATTTAAAGTGACTTTCTGTTGTCCTCATATTTTAATAATTAGCTGAAGGTGGATTTCTAGGTTAATAAAATCATTTTCTTTAAGAGCTATGGATGGTGGAATTGGGGATGGGATATATTGGGCATCATGCCTGTAATTATGCTGGTGCTCAGACCTGTAATCAGCTCCTCAGGAGGCTGAAATCTGAAGATCATGGTTCAAAGCCAGACTAGCCAGGAAAATCCAGGAGATTCTTATCTCCAATTAACCACCACTAAGCTGGAGTTGATGCTGTGGCTCAAGTGGTAGAGGCTAGCCTTGAAAATAAAGCTGAGGACCAGCGCCCAGGCCCTGAATTCAAGCTCCAGGACAGGTACAAGAAAAAAACCAACAATGGTTCACACCTGTAATCCCAGCTACTTGGGAAGTGGAGATAGGTGAACTGCCGTTTGAGGTCAGCTGAGGCTAACAGTTGGCAAGACCCTATCTTAACCAGCAATCTGGAAAATAAAACACTGAAACTTGTTGAAGTTGTTTTACTTAATTTTTTTTTGTCAGTTGTGGGGCTTGAATTTAGGGTTTAGGTACTGTCTCCTTGATATTTTTTGCTCAAGGCTAGCACTCTACCACTTTGAGCCACAGTGCCACTTTCACTTCCATTTTTCTGGTGGTTAACTGGAGATAGGAGTCTTATGGACTTTCCTGCCTGGACTGGTTTCAAGCTAAAATCCTCAGATCTCAGCTTCCTGAGTAGCTAAGATTACGGGCATGAGCCACTAGCACCTGGCTTTTAAAGTTGTTTAAACATGGGGATTAAATAAGATTAGGGAATGCAAAAGAAAGATGAATTGTATCACGGCATGTTATACACACATATGGAAGTATCACAATGAATCTTGCCCCAGTACTATTAATACATACTAATTATGATGATTATTTTTTAAAGAAACAACAAGCTTGGTGTGATGGTTCATACCTATAATCCCCAGCTATAAATAGGAGGCATAGAAGGACCATGGTCCAAGTCTAGTCTGGGTGCAAAGGTTAAGACTACCTGAAAAATAACTGAAACTAAAAGGTTTGGAGAATCTCTGGTTGTAAAGCATTTACCTAATGAGTTGCAAGGCCCTGAATTCAAAGTCAGTACTGTCATATCTATATATCTATATAGATCTATATATCTCTATCTTTAGAAAAATAGCTTTAGAAAAATAAAAATATTTAAAGGTCTAAAATTTGTAACTTTCTTTTTGATGGCAATTGGGTTTAGATTCAGAATCTCATGCTTGTTAGCAGGCACTCTACTAAGAGCTGTGCTGCTAGCTCTTTTCTCTGCTGGTTATTTTTCAGATTGGGTCTTGGTTACTGTCTGGGTGTTTGCCTTTACCTTGATCTGCCGATTTTAAGCTTCCTGTCATAGCTAGGATGACAGGTGCTTGCCACCACTTCAACCTCACTTAATTGGGACTGAGGCTCTTGGACATTTGGGCCTAGGCTGTCCTGGAATTTAATTTTCCTAATTTCAGCCTTCCAGGTAGTTAGGATGACATGAATGAATGTACTACATTGAGTTGAGAAGTGGTCTCACAAACTTTTCTGCCTGGTTTGGCCTTAATCTGCCACCCTCCCTATCTTAGCCTCCCAAGTAACTAGAATTACTTACATAAGCCTGTTAAAATTTTAATTTGTAAAAATTTCCCTTAATGAAAGACTATTCTGAGTTCTTTGAGATTTCTTCAATTGCGGCTTATGATTGAATACTTCCTTGTAGCACAGCATCTTCTGTCATATCAAAGGCATACAAAGAACATTTGGCGAACAAATAATATTAGAAACAGCCTTTAGAGGATAAGAAACTGGTGGTTAAAGCTCCAAGTTCAACCCAGTGAGTTTGTTGTTTAACTTTGCTCCAAAACAAAACAAAACAAAAACAAATAAACAAAAAGAACTTTGCTCCATCTCCGCTTCTGATCTGCAAAGAGGAGCTGACCATAGTACTTACACTGAAGTGTTATTTAGATTATGTAAGATAATGTGTATAAACATGAAATCTCTAGATTTCCCATTCAGGGTTAAATTTTATGTAATTTTAAATTTTAATTTAAAAATTTAAATTTTGTTTATTGAGTTTCTTGCCTGGGACCTTTCAACTTTCCCTGATCTATTGTCACAGGCCAGCATGACTTTATTGTCCTGGCCTTTCTGGGATGTACCCTAGACTCCATTTCCTACACTTCTCTATAATCAAAACTCTTACTGATCTTTGCCCTTTCTTCTTCCTGAACTATATTTGTTAACATAAATGGTAAAGTAATTCATGTTCAGTTACTAGAGTTTCTTAATGGCATATTACGTTATTTCTGTTTGCATTTGCACTTAATATGGGACAATTACCCATAAACTAAAGAAGACAGTGGCAAAAATAATAGAAATGACTACAGCATGTGTTTTGTTTTGTTTTCCCACATAGGCTGCAGGTGATCACCAATTTCATGTCTGATTATGTCATATCTTTCTTTCCAAACATACAGGACTTAAAAAAATTATCTAAACAGAATTATGAAGATTTGAATTTACATAGAATTTAGAGATTACCAGGTCCAGAGATTTTTAACTTTTTTCTTTTTAAAGCAACAAACTCTTTCTCATATGAAATGTTATGTGGAAACTGAATATACACATTAAATAAAAGCACGTCTGATGCTAAGCCCAGGAATTCAAGTCATGGAGCTCTCCCTTTGTTGTCTAGGGCAGCTCCGGAGGGCACTTTCTTGGACCTCCTTAGGGCTCCCTAGTGTGCTGTTTTAAAACCAGTAATTTAAACCAATCCTTTCATTTTTCCAACTGAGGAAATAAGCTCAGAGAATCTGTGTTTTATCTGGTGGTGATGGGTGGTTAGATTAAGAGACATCCTTACCAGTGCCATACTTAGGACAACATGTAGGTAGACAAGAGTTGAAGTTAGCATCTGTTTGTTTTTGGAAGTTTTTATTCTTGGTGCAGATAGCTTTGATGATCATATTTCTCGTCATCAATAAACTTTTATTTGAACTGACACATATAAGATACTTTCTGTGTCTATAACTGATTCTGAGGATTATAGGATATAACTTTTTCCCTGAAGAAAGTTAACAGTCTCGTTGGGAAGATACCACTTCCAGTTGAAAATTTACACTGAAGTTAAGTAGAAAAGATTTGAGATGTAACAACAAATAAGTATGGCATTAACTGAAAAGATACGATACTTACATTACACTCTAGTGGAGTTCAGAGGAGTGTGAAGGCACTCCATTTGGCCTAAGGAAGCTTTTTTTTCTAAAGAGGAAATATGACTTAAGAGTGGGACTTTGCTAAGTAAATAGGTATAAGGTGATAGAATACTGTGAATAACAGCAAGGTTCTACTTGAATTTTAGCTCCCTTTCTTTCCTTTCTATGATACTGGTGAGTTCCTGACCTCTTGAGATTGTTAATTCATTTATGATATGGGGATGTTTGGGATGTATGTTAATTAAGGACAAATTAAATCTCAAAATATTAATGATTACAACAATAGTTTATTTTTCCCTTATATCAGTGTTTATGTTAATTAACTTTCCAAGTGATCACTTAGAGGCACCACCTTTTTTCTTTTTGTCAGATCAGGGCCTGGATGCTGACCCTGAGCTTTTTTGCTCAAGGCTAGCACTCTACCACTTTGAGCCACAGTTCCATTTCTGTTTTTTTTTTTTTTTTCTTTGGTGGTTAATTAGAGATAAGAGTCTCACAGACTTTCCTGCCCAGGCTGGCTTTGAACTGTGATCCTCAGATCCCAGCCTCCTAAGTAGCTAGGATTACAGGTGTGAGCCATTACTGCCCACCTTTGCTTGGCTTATTATTTTGCTTGTCACTTGAGCCATATATCCAGTTTTGGCTTTTTGCCATTTCATTGGACATAAGAAGATAAGAGTCTCTAGGATTTGTTGGCCTGTGCTGGGTTTGAACCTCGATCCTCAGATTGCAGCTTGTAGAGTTAGGATTACATGCATGAACCACCAGTACCTGACAATCCTGTTTTCACTTCTACCTCCTCTGTGTCTTTAGAGTACTTTCCATATATACTTTCCATATAGCAGGCAAAAATAGGAGTGAAAAAGTATTTAGGTTCTGGATTTGAAGGTGTTGTACAGAGCTCTGCCCTTTTTTTTTTTTTTTTTTTTGTTTTTTTTTTTTTTTTGATCGTGGGGCCTGAACTCTGGGCCTGGGTGCTTTTCCTCAGCTCTTCAGCTCAAGGCTAGCGCTTTACCACAGCTCCACTTCTGACTTTTTCTGCTTATGTGGTACTGAAGAATCGAACCCAGGACCTCATGTATGCAAGGCAAGCACTCTACCACTGAGCCACCTTCCCAGCCCCCTCTGCCCAGTTTTACTAGCTGAAACTTAATCACCAAGCTATGTCTATACACAGAAGATATAGTCAAGTTGGAAAGGAAATAAGTTTTGGAGTGCACTGCTGCCCCACACAATGTTTTGAAAACCCGAGGAAAATAATGTAAATGATTTGCTTTGTATAGTTTATAGCTTTTTAAATAATAAGGAAATGTATATGATGTCTTACCAAGAAAAGATAATGCACTGAGTGCTTAATTAATGTATACTTTTAACCACCTGGTTTTGGAGTTATCAATTTATTTTTGGCTTTTGTTAATGATAAAATCTAATATTTAAAATGATTCTTCTTGATAAATTTGTTGTTTCTTTTCCTTTTAGCATGGTATTATTGCTACAGAAGATGAAGAATATTTTATTGAGCCTTTAAAGAATACCACAGAGGATTCTAAGCATTTTAATTATGAAAATGGCCATCCTCATGTTATTTACAAAAAGTCTACCCTTCAACAACGTCATCTCTATGATCACTCTCATTGTGGGCTTTCAGGTGAGTGTACAGTCTTTGAGAAACATACTGAATCATTACTGACAAGTATCACAAGAAATAATAAATAATTTTGGAGAGTCTCTGAGAAGTAGTTAGAATATAATCCATGTTAAAAAAGAACTTTTTGGTAATATTTACAGCTTTCCCACACAGATATTTCATAGTATTCTGCACTTGTTGGTTAGCCTTATGTGTTCTTGCTAGTAAGAGGTATCTAAATTTAATAAGCCTAACTCCTGAATAAGACTTGAAGAGTCTTAAGGAAGTACTCAAAAGGTAATGATAACATTGAATTAGGAGACTATAGAAATACATCATTGGAACAACAATAGACTTGAGTAGACAAGGAAAGCTTCATGAAAGAAGTAACTTCTCTGCTGAGCATTAAGGGAAAAGAGAAGGTAGTTAGACAGGGCTTTTCCCTGGGATGCAGCATTTTACAACCCTCCAGGGGAATGATGCAGTCTAGAAATGGACAGTTCCTATAATGGGCACTAGAATGTGGGTTGAAGAGACAGAGACAGACATGAAAGGCTCCTAAGTTATATTAAGGAGTCTGTACAGGCTGATTATGTTAGAAACCCATTTTTTTATGTTGAAGGGATGAAATAATCATTTTTATCCAGGTGCTGGTGGTTCACACCTATAATCCTAGCTACTCAGGAGGCTGAGATATTAGGATCAAGGTTCAAAGCCAGTCTGTGTAGAAAAGTCCACGAGATTCTTATCTTCAATTAATCACCCAAAAGCTGGAAGTGGAGTTGTGGCTCAAGTGGTAGAGCACTAGATTTGAGCAAAAAAGCTCAAGGATAGCACACTGACTTCAAGTCCCAGGATTGGCCCCCTAAAATTATATTTATGTCACAGAAAGACTGTTCTTGCAGTTGTGTGGAGATTGAATTTGAGAAGAATAAGATTAGAGGCAGGGTGTTAGGGAATGTTAGTCTAAAGATAGGACATAGAATAACACCATCAAAGGATCATGGGCTCTGGTGTACTTTTGGACAGATTTCCAAACATCTTTGGGATCTCATCTTAGCACACATTATTTACTCAGTCCAATTATATTTTCATTATTATTACTATTATTATTACATTACTATTATTACTATTGCATTATTATTAATCTAAACTATTTCTAGTAGTTTAAAAGCTATTACATTTTTCAAATTGGATTTTTCTTTTCCATTTTTTGAAAGTTTTGTTCCAGAAGTTGCAAATAGGAACAAAATATTTCAAGGGCAGATTTCAACTTACTGTAGAGTTCATCAGCAAATCAATTTAGAATAAAATGCAATGATTGCCCTTTGAATCAGGGAAAGCATTATCCTTTGGTATCTCTCCATATTTTTTGTTTTCCTCCATGTTCTTCAGAGGGTCATTTCCTTCTTAACTGTTTAAATGGTCTTTTGAATTCATTGTTCAAGTAATTTATTACGTTATTATTATTATTATTGTACTAGGTTTGAACTCAGGGCAGATACTCTGCAGCTTGAGTCATGTTGCTAACCAATTTTCGTTGGAAGCTAGAATCTCCCTTTTGCTTGTTTGGCCAGGTTTATGATTCTCCCATTTATGCTTCCTACTACAGTTGGGGTGAGAAGCATGTAGCATCAGCCCAACTTTCTCTGTTGAGATCTGGGTTTCATGAACTTTTTGTCCTGGCTTTGAACTGCAATCCTTATGTCAGCTTCCTGAGTGCACACTTTATTCTTAAATAAGGTTTATAAATCTCTTCGGCCAAGTGCAGTGGGTTCACATCTGTAATCCCAGCTACTTGGGTGATAGTGTTACAAACTTGTAATCCTAGCTATGCATGAGGCTGGCCCAGACAAAGATAGATCCCCTACTTGAAAAAGAGCTAAAGCAAAACAGGGGCATGTCTTAAGTGGTGGAGCATTTTTCTGCTAAGTATAAAGCCCCATTTTGGGAAGTTTGCATCCCACTACCACCAATAAAAAATATCCATTAGGCTTTTGATTTTGGAAGGTTTTTGTTTGTGAGGAAAAGTTGATATTAGAAAAGGCCACTTAAAGTAAATCTATTTAAAACACTTAAAATGTGAAACAAAATTCATTAGTAAATTAATAAGGAGGCTAGATTGAGTCTTTAAATAAGGACACGCAAGCATATGGGGGAAATGTTGATGTTTAATAAACTTGAGGTTGTAGGTACAGCAATCTATAAATTCTTTCACAATGCAAGATTCATTCATTCATTCATCTATTGAATTAATGTGCACATACTGCCACTCCAGGCTGGCACTCTATCATTGAAGCCATGCCTCAGATTCTTTATTATTTATCTTGATAAAATTTTCCCATGCTAAAATATACTTTATTTTATGACTGTAAATAATTTGCAGTTCATCCAGGAAGTGTTTAAAATTTCATCATATTCTGAAAGATACCTTAGTCCTTTGATATCCAGAATGTTTTATTTTAAACTACCTATTGCATTATTCTAACTCAGGTAGAGTTTATTTTCTACATACTTCCAAATCCATTCTTATTGCAATTATGTAATTATACCCTTTGGGAGAAGATTTTCTTTCGTTCTTTTTTTTAACCATTAGTTTAAATTACTAATACCATGTTCTAAATATATTTCCCTCTCAATACAGTCTGGGAAGTAGCCCTAATAACATTCCAATTAGTTCACTCTCACATCTGTTGCCTGTGATACTGTACTAACTTTTTAGCTGGATTTCCTTTCTCCAGGCTTAGTATTCCTTGTTTTAGTCAAATCTTTTCTCTTAATTTGGCTATATTAAACCTTCAAACACTTCACTGGCTTCTTATTAGTGGGAATACTATAGTTGTTTTCTGAGTTCTGGGAAATGTTGCCTGGTGGTGTTGGGAGAAAATAAAAGCCCCAGATGCTTAACAAGTTTGGAAAATGTCTGGCAAAAATTTAATATTATTTCAATGTCTCAGGACAGGTGAGCAATGCCATTTTAGTCTGTTAAAAGAAACTCAAGTTTATGTCAAAACTAAGGATGTAAATATCTTTTGACACTGGATATACCTATTTCATATTATATACGGATATTCAATTTTTTGGTTAGATTCAAACTATGAGTTCAACACCATTTTATGGAAACAATTTTTTTTATTGTGAAAATACCATACAGAAGAGTTGGAATTACATGGGCAAGATAATGAGTACATTTCTTATCAAGCATTTGGAAACAATTTTTTTAAATTAGAAATATGCAGGAAAAATAAAATTAAAAAAATCACTCTTATTCTTCCACTCAGAGATAACTGAATATCCTGTTGGTCCATTGGCATAGATAATATTATGTTTATATACCTGGATTTAAGTTCATTATACAGTTACATATTTATCAAGTAAATATTTAGTATCTGTGCAAGATTGTTTTAGATTCTGAGAATGCAACAATAAATAATGCAGACAAGGTCATTGCTGTTGTGGAGTTTCTTGTATCTAGTGAGGAAAGGCAATGAGTTACAGGGGTAAATAAACAAGTACATACATGACTACCACAGATAATGCCACAAATACAAGGTAAAGCGAGTCAATGAAATAATTGTACTTGGCTATGTACAGCCAAACATCTTGATAATGATCAAAAAATTAAAATACTATTTTTGGGACAATGAGATCCATACATTAGTTTTGGAAGAAAGTTAACTGTGTTATATGGAACAATGTTTCCTTTAACATTCTAAAGTGTATCAAAAATTAAATTGTGCATCTGAAGAAGTAATCTTTTTTTTAAACAAAACAAGGCAAGTTTTTATTCCTTTTGGTACTGGGAATTGAACTCAGGGTCTCTCAAGTCAGTTCACTTTTGTCTCACCATTTCTGTGATTTCCCCTTCCCATCATAGATCAGATAAACTTATAGACAAGACAAATAATATCAAAATAAAAAACAGTGACAACAGGGGGTAAACCAAATGGAAAAAAATGAAAGAAGAAAGAAATAACTGTGTATAGTACATTAACACCCCTCCAAAAACTTCTTGTTTCCATGTTTTGTAGTTGATTTCTATTAGCCTCATTTTATAAAGAACCAATCCAACAGTGATACTCAAAATATAGTATATTGAAAATGAACTTTACAATTGGGAGGGAAGAGAGTGGGGGGGAGGGAAAGTGGGAGAAAATGAGGGAAGGAGTAGGTGGGCAACAATGTTCCACAAGAATTGCACTCATTTCCTTACTTAAGTACCTGTAACCCCTCTGTACATCACCTTTTTCAATTGAAAAAAAAGAAAAAAGAATTACTGTGGAACCTCTCTGTTGCATATGCATGTTTTCCTTCAGTGTCCATTAAAAAAGAAAGGCAAGTCAGTAGAAAAAATTCTGGAGAACAAAATTATTTAAAACACTTACTATACATTGACATATCTTTAAATATTTTTAAATTGTATAATTGTATAATAACCAAGTAAATTGTATAATAACCAAGCCTCCTCTCTTTTAATAAATTAACACAAATTAAAACAACTAGAATGTTAATATATTTTATAACCAAGAGTACTTGGGCTATGCCCCCAGCCCTACAAATGCCATGGTAATAAAGTTTCCTTAGCAGTAAAACCGAGATGTCTAAACGCAAAGATACACTATAATCCAAACTACATGTGGCTCAAAGCAAATTGTGCAGAATTTTATCTCTTTTTAATGTCTCTGACCTTCTGCCCTATATAGATTTTGGCAAAATAACACTTGGAAAATTATGTGCAAAAGCTGAGCAGCAGTGGCTCACATTTGTAAATTCTAGCTACTTAGGAGGCTCAGATCTGAGGATCATGTGATTTGAAGCCAGCCTGGGGAGCATAGTTCGTGAGACTCTTATATCCAATTAATCACGAAAAGAGCTAGCTAGAAATGGAGTTGTAGTAATAAAACACTATCCTTGAGAAAGAAGAGCAAAAAAATTCAGGGAGAGCACCCAGACCCTGAGTTCAACCTCCAGGACTCTCACACAAAAATAACTAAAATTACGTGGAAAACTAATTCACCACCTTTTAGAATTGAGATTTCCAGAGGAATTGAATTGGTTCTAATTAAGATAGCTTAATAACAGCCTATTACTTTAAAAAATGTTCAAAAGTGTTTTAAGATTAGATTTAGCAACATTTTGTTTTCTGTCAGAACTGTCTTAGGCTATTCAAAAGTTCATACTGTCATTGATTTTTAAACAACTTTAAAATGATTCTTTAAAATGTCTTTCTGAATTTAAATGTATTATGATATAATTACTCACTAGAATAATATGAAATGATTATTTAAAATTTTTATATAGTAATTCATTGCAGAGATTTATTTATTTTACTGGGTTTATGTGAGGAGTTTAATTTTATCAGAAAAATTGATTGATTTGACATTTAAAGGTTTATATTATTGAACTCAAAACCTATGCTTGTTAGGCAGTCTTTTTAACCACTTGAGCCACATTTCTAGCTCAATACTCTCTCTATCCCTTCCATTACTTTGAAAAATCTTATTTAATTGAACAATCATGACAATCATATCTACATAAAGGATATATAAATATATGGTTTCAATTGATAAATCATTTGAATTGGTTGTTTAATTTATTGTAGACTTCACAAGCAGTGGCAAACCTTGGTGGCTGAATGACACATCATCTGCTTTTCCTTCATTACTACCAATTAATGACACACATACCCACCATAGACTGAAAAGATCAGTGAGCATTGAGCGGTTTGTGGAGACATTGGTTGTGGCAGACAAAATGATGGTGGGTTACCACGGACGTAAAGACATTGAACATTACATTTTGAGTGTGATGAATATTGTAAGTTTTATCCCTCTGTAATCTATTTTGCTTGGTTGTTTTTTGTGTTTTGTACAAAGATTATGGAGTAATAAATATGAATTAATAATAAAAATTATGAAATAAGTAATGATAACATTGTGAAATAAATAATAATAAAATATGGTATAAATGAAATAAATGATAATAAAATTGACCTAAAATAGAAACACATTGGTCTATGTTATTTTATGTTTTGCTTTTTAATTGTATTTTGGTGCTCGGGATTTTACCCAGGACCTTGTGTATTCTAAATATATGCTTTGCTACTAAGCTACATGCTCAGCACAAGAATTAATGTTCCATAGAAAATAAATTAAAATATGACTTTATTCATCATTTTAATAGAATGTATAATTTTTATACTTATTTTTTATATTTTTATGTAATTTTTTCTTTTTCAATGGATTGTTGAATCTTGTTTAAGGAACTTTCTTTAACTTGAATCATCAGCTTACCCTCTAATTATTATGTTCTATATCTCTGAAGAAAATATTCTTGAGGTAGATTTATGTAAAAGCCTTTGTACAAATTGAGGGTAAATTGAGGGTAGAGTCATACATCTCAGCAAAAGAATATCTTTTCATATATAAAATGGCTAACATCATAAAAATTGGTTTGTCTTTAAAAAAGCAAATTGTCACCTTATGATTTTTGTCTGACTTTGTGTCTTTTCTTCTTTTCTGGAGGTCAGGTTGCCAAACTTTACCGTGATTCCAGTCTTGGAAACGTTGTGAATATTATAGTGGCTCGATTAATCGTTCTCACAGAGGATCAGGTAAGAATAATTTTGTTTATAAGCCTAAAACTCAGGCTATGGAGTTGCTTATTATAAAAGAATATATTTCCTGCTAATCTTCTTAGAAAGTCCTAGTTGAATATGAGTTTTAGCTTTAAACTTCAATGTTTTAAGCAAATTTAAAATATATCACAATAATATAACTCATGTCTTGTTAAAGCTCTCTTTCTCTATATATGTTAGTTATTTGTTTCAGTGTAAGAATGAGCATTGGATGGACCTTATAATAATGGTTTTGGTTGTTTTTGTGTACTAATAATCCTATATGTGTTCACATTATTGTTGATGCTGGAAATGGAATGTCTGTTCATTAATAAACTAAATGAACTCTAGGTCAGATATTACAGAGATAAAAATTGGCAAGAGATTATTCCTAGAAACCACTGCTTCTAATTTTAGTCCCACTTTAGTCTTCAAAAGTTTTAAGAACTGACCTTAGCAATTTGTTTGGAACATTTCTGGTATGCATGTTGTATTGCAGCCAAACTTGGAGATAAACCACCATGCAGACAAGTCCCTCGATAGCTTCTGTAAGTGGCAGAAATCAATTCTCTCCCACCAAAGTGATGGAAACACCATTCCAGAAAATGGGATTGCCCACCACGATAATGCAGTTCTTATTACTAGGTATGGTTTGTTGCAAATATTTTCCTTTGATTGTTAATGTTTGTTTATATTATAACTATTTTTGGTTCTTTTGGATACCTCATTCAGGTAATAACAATGAAAAAGCAAGATAATTATTTATTAATTTTTATTACTGAGAAAGAGTGTGGTCTGCTATTAATACTTCTGCATCAAATGGACCAAATAAGGAAAAAATTAAAATTAAGCAGTTAATAAATATTTTTTCTCTATTGATAAATCCTATTCATAATGTTTAATTTGAAGCATATGCATGAATTATTAATTGAACTAAATACAAAAAGCAAGCTTAAAAGTATGAGAAAATCAATATTTTCAAAAGTTAAGTTGTCACTCACTCTTGGTTATGAAACATTAACTATTTTTAACCTCCTAATTGGATTTGTTTGTGTTAACTTATTCAAAAGGAGGAATATTGGTTAGTACAAAATTTACTTGTATGAATGACTATTTATCTAAAAATATTTAAGATATATCAGCACAGAAAACTAAGCTTATGACATCATTTAAATAGTTTTTCTCTCAAGCAAAATTATTACTCAATAGTAATCTCGTGAATTCCTATATTGCTTTCCAGTTTTATAAGAATGTTTCAAATCCCGTATATTTTTTTATTCTCTAGTAACAATTCTGAAATAGAGCATTATTACTTTTTTTTTTTTTGTCGGTCATGGGGCTTGAATTCTGGGCCTGGGCGCTGTCCCTCAGCTCTTCAGCTCAAGGCGAGAGCTCTACCACTTGAGCTACAGCGCCACTTCCGGTTTTCTGGTGGTTTATTGGAGATAGGAGTCTCACGGTCTCACGGTCTCTCCTGCCCCGGGCTGGCTTTGAACCGCGATCCTCAGATCTCAGCCTCCTGAGTAGCTAGGATTACAGGCGTGAGCCACCAGCGCCCGGCTCAGAGCATTATTACTTTAGCTTCTTAGCAATGAAAAAACTGGTTCAGAATAGTTAATTCATTTGTTTCTTAAAGTTGTACTCTAGTTATGAGTTGGAAGCTTTATGGTTAAATAACTTTTTAAAAGTGTTTTTTTGTACCTCTTACCAGTATTTAAAAATGAACGAAACAATAAAATAACAATAATAACCAGTAAGCAAAATGCAATATGTAGTGATTGAGTTGAATAGCTTTATTACGCTGATGATTTCTTTTTATCAGCAAGGTCATGTGAAACATGTATCACATATATAGTATTGGTGCTGTGCTCATAGACATTAAAGTGTGTGGTGGGAGTCTAAAGCATGGGAGATCAGGAGTTTGAAACTTGGTAAAATAATGTAGGTTTAGCTTTTACTGTCATATAATTAAAGTTTTTTTTTGCTTTCTTTTAGTTATACTTACTTATTGGCTTTACCTACCTGTCATTTATAAACCAGAAAATAATATTTATGCCATGCTTGCTTAGCATAAAAACACCATATGTTCATAAATGTTGACATATTAGTCTGATCAGTTTTACAGTTTCTCAACATCAAGGTGTTCTATAATTTCCCCAAATATACTTAAGGAACTAAAAATATATTAGAAATTATGCTAATGTAGAAACCTTTGAGTAAAAATATGGATATAAATAATGTTGCTGAAATTATGAGAGGAACTTGTACTATATATAAATAGCTAATAAAAATGGACACCGATATATGCCTAGCTTCTGTATTTATATTGCAAAATCCTTCCTTTCCTCCAAAATGTAGCATCACAGTTTTCCTGAATCTGCATTGGATTTTTATCATTTACATCAAATTTTATTTTGAAATGCCTGAAGCATTAATTTGACATGTATTACCTTACCTACTAATGAATTGTAAGCTAACTGCTACATAAAAATAAAAATTTCCAACTTGACATATTTATCATTTGCATCAAATCGTAAAAATCCAAAATAGAAATTTCATTGAGCATGCACATAAGTATTCAGGTAGTGAATAGTGAAAATGGCCTTTTTTGTAATATTTTTAATTAAACTGTTAGTAACTTGTATTGATTGATTCCTTAGAAGTTATGTATATTAAATTTAATGATTAGTAAATTATTTTAAAATAATGGAATATGACTTTTTATAACTAGTTTAGGAAATGATCAGTACTTTGTACTTGAAATCCTAGAAACATAATTTAAAATGGTACAATGACTACTTAAATATACTTAAGAAGTACATGATTAAAACTTGCTTAAATTTTTTCAAATTATCCTTATTAAACTTTGAATTTTATTTTAATTATTTATTTTTATTTAATGAGTTGATTTTTTTTGGGTGCTGTTCCTGGTGTTTGAACTCAGAGCCCGGACCCTGTCTCTGAGTTGTTTTGCTCAAAGTTAGCACACTACTACTTGAGCCACAGCTCTATTTCTGGCATTTTGGCAATTGGAGGTAAGAGTCTCATGAACTTTTCTGCCCCAGTTGGCTTTGAACTGCAATCCTCAGACCCTTCCTGTATAGCTGGGATTATAGGTGTAAGCCACTGGTGCCAGGCCAAAATTACTTATTTTTAAAATCATCAAATAAAGTTTTCTGTATTGATACTGCACAACATGTTATATTGATAAATATATATACATATCAATATATATTAATATGTGTCAATATCAATATAACAATATAATTGTCAAATGTCTAAAGCATTAACTTGACTTATATTACTTTACATCATTTATAAAGTACGAGTTACTACATAAGAATAGAAATTTTCAACTTGACATTTATTTATATTTTCATATGACATCAGGAAATATCCAGCATATCTTCTTTTTTTCTATTGTGCCAGTTTTGGGGCTTTAAATCAGAGCCTCACACTCTTGTGTGGCTTTGTCACTGAAGGCTGGCAATCTATTACTTGAGCCACATCTTCACTTCTGGCTTTTTGCTATCTAATTGGGGATAAGAATCTCTCCAGCTTTCCTGCCCAAGCTGGCTTTGAACTGTGATCACCAGCTCTCAGCTTCCTGAGTAACTATCATTATAGATATGAGGCACCAGCACCTGGCTTCACTGACACATTAAAACCAATTTTTAAATTTATCTTGAGGAATTCTTATATAGTCTGACTTCCTATTTTTTATCAAGAAATTCATATATAAATTGAAATTCAATAGAAAGTGAGAGTTTACAAGCATCAGTGTTTGCCAATTAGCATAAACACACTAATATATGTGTTTCTTGGGTTTCTCTTTCATAAAGCATTTGAAACATATTTTTCCATTTTAGAAAATAACACATGACAGTTTATATATTTAGAGTAGAAATTACAGCCTAAGTTCTTTTTATGGTAGCAGTTTTCTGAAAATAGAATTTTACCCATTTACCATTTACCCATTTAATGTACATTTTAGTGGGTGTTGTATATTCACAGGATTGTACAACCATCAGTATAATTAATCTGACAATATTCCATCACTCCCAAAGGAGTTCATGTCCCACTCCTTTCTTTGCTGGCTCCACCCTTGCTGTAGCCCCAGTCAAATTCGAATTGAACTTTCTGACTATATAGGTTTGCCTAAAAATGGATTTATACAGTATGTTGAAATTTGACCTTTTGTGATGATGCTGAGATGTGACTTAGTGCCTTACACTTGCCTTGCTTCTTAGCTTAGCTGGCATTCTACCTCTTGAATCACACTTCCAGCTCTGCTTCTTACTGGTTATTGTGGAGGGGCTGGTCTTGAACTGTCATCTTCTTAAGTAGTTAGGATTACAGACTTACTTGACAAGCTTTCATGGTTCATCAACATTATGGCATGTGTTAATACTGCATTCCTATTAGCCTAAGTTCTCAAAATTTCAAGATATCTAAAATATCTTTCAAAAATCCCATTTACAAAGATTACGTAATTGTGCTTTTTTCCATTTTTATTAATGAAACAATTTATAAGTAAATCTTAATAAAGCACAGAAGCAAAAATTGCATACCAAGTCAAATTATTCTATTTTTAAAAGAAGTGAGCACATTTATCCTTTTAAGGAGTCATGAATGTATTACTTTGATGTTCTGAACGCTAATAGAGTTAGAATTTCTGAAGTAACATGACTAATGTTTTCAGATGGTAGTTTAAAAATAGCTATAAAAGTGTTTTCCTGTTAGAACATGTCCTATAATATATGGATTTAGATGCTTTAACATTTTTTTAAAGAATGTATCTGTCAAGATTATATATTGGATTCATGATTATCTATGAGAACAGATAGAAGAAATTAAATGTCATACATTAACATTTAGTTTTATGACTTTTACTAAGCTGTGTGTGTGTGTGTGTGTGTGTGTGTGTGTGTGTGTGTGTATCGTTACTGGAACTTGAACTCAAGGCCTTACCTTCTTTCTTAGCTTTTTTACTCAAGGCGTGATCTCTTACCACGTAAGCCATGCCGCCATGCCTGCACTTCTGCCATTTTATTTATTTATTTTGCTGGTTAATTGTAGTTATGAATCTCTCAGATTTATTTGTCTAGGCTGGCTTTGAACCTTGTTCCTCAGATCTCAGCTTTCTGAGTAGCTAGGATGATAGGCATGAACCCTTGGCCTCTGGTCTACTATTAAGCTTACAGGCAGCATGGATATTGTGAATTGAGATTTTTAGAGAAGTTGATTTTGGTGTTTGGGCATTGCAATGTATGTACCACTTTGGTCCCATCAATACTACCCATGCCCACTTCTCCAAACCCATATTGCCTTTTCTTTTCCTTTTAACTTTTCCATATTGGTTCTTTAAACCACTCATCTAGTCTCAGTTTCTTTTCAAGGCTAGAATTATGACAAACTAGTGGGACTATAATATCTGTGTAAGCTGAGACATTTCTTTTTTGGGGGGGGGTCCGGTCGTGGGGCCTGAACTCTGGGCTTGGGCGCTGTCCCTCAGCTCTTCAGCTCAAGGCTAGCACTCTACTACTTGAGCCACAATGCCACTTCCGGCTTTTTTCTTTTTGCTTATGTGGTGCTGAGGAATCGAACCCAGGGCCTCATGCATGCAAGGCAAGAGCTCTACCACT